GGTGGGGGGTGGGGTGGGTTTCAAATTCCAAACCCTGTGGCTAATGCTTCTCAAATCTTTACTCTGGATCAATGGCCCATGTCCCAAAATGTGGGCCCAATTACATGGAAGTCGGCTTGACCCTTTCTTCCTTGAAGACGTCTGAGTTTCTGAGAATCGGTTTGGGCGGGTCCATGACAAGAAGTGCTTCCCCTCAGGCTGACTTTGTTTCCAGCAGCTGACGGCGGGGAAGGAGCCGAGTCCTGGGTCACGAGCCTCACAAGCCGGCCGTGCCACCTTCCCACAGATCGGCACGCGAAGGAGCGTCAGCGTGTGTCGGGGTTGGCACGGGGCGGTCCCCTCTGTCCCCTGGCACGTGGTTCTGTATCATCCATCGTGCTCAAAACGGTGTTCTGGACAAACTCCTCCCCTGGCCTCATCTCTTTTGAGGGACGCTTCCTGCCACGAAAATCTGGATTTCACTCAATCAGTTTGGAATAACCCATAAAGCAAACAGCAACGTACCCCCAAACCAAAACTTTAAGTGTATCCGGCAAAGCTTGAAGCGGAAAATCCGGGGGCTAGGCTACTCGACTCTTCGTTCTAGTTAGCAGGCAGACTTGGGTTTCTGATCTTTCGATAAAAATCTTTTGAAAAGTCTCTGAGAAACAGACCGAGGACTAAGGGGCTGGGGTCAAAGGCGGCGAGTGTGGGCCCAGCGCTTACGGAGAGAAGGGCCGGTTCCAAAAGCTGTGAACAGCCGCAGGGACTCTGGAGTCCTATTTTTTGAATTATAATAGTTTGAGTTTCAGAGAAAAATCGAGACAGTCGTAGAGAGGGTGTCCCATATACCCCGCATCCTTCTACGATCAGCGCATTATTACGTCTATACTGTGATACAACGTGCCTATGCGTAGATAAGACCACAGTAGCACATATACTATGGTATATTATTATAATTAATGAGCCGATATTGCTATATTATCATTAACAAAAGACTCTACTTTGTTTGGATTTCTTTAGGGGTTTTTTTTTTTTTTTTTTTACAAAGACTTAACTATTTTTAAATTATCGTCGGCAGACAGTGTTATATTAGTTTCAGGTGTGCAACACGGCGCTTAGACATTTATTTATATAGCTTAGAAAGCGGTCGCCCCACTAAAGCCAGTGCCCGCCCACCACGCGTAGTCATTATAATGGAGCTGCACCTACATCCCGTGACCGTCCGTGACCCTTAACCTCCTTCCCCTGTCCCTTAGTTTTTCTCGAATGTCCTGTCTCTGCTCCCAGGCCTCCCGAGTTGTCACACGCCGTCCGAGTCCAGGGCGCACGTGTGCTGGTCTGACACGTTTGTAAACTGCGAAGTGAACGTTTCCGTGGTCCCAGCCACCACCCCGTCCTGTCACAGAGTGCCCTTTCTGTTCGTGGTGAGAACACTTAAAGTCTACCGTGGTCTGCGGCCACGCCACCCCGGACGCGCCCGATCTCGTCTGATGTGGGAAGCTAAGCAGGGTCGGGCCTGGTTAGCCCTTGGATGGGAGACCACCTAGGAAGACCAGGTGCTGTAGGCGTAAAAAATAAAAGAAATCTACTATTACACAGTGTTATGAACTCTAAGCCCATGCATGCCGCGCTTGCATCTCCTGGAACTCGTTAACCTTATAACGGCCGGTTCGCACCTTTGACCAACATCTCCCCGTTTCCCCGCCCCCCCCCAACCCCACTAAGCATCGCTTTACCGTTTCTCGGCTTATCTAAAAGAGCGAATCTGAGATCACACAGTATTCGTCCTTCTCTGCCTGACGCATTAAGTGAGCCTAATGCCCTCCATCCAGGCCCGTCCAGCATGTGGCAAACAGCAGCGTTTCCTTCTTCCTCGGGCCGAATCCGCCCACCGTTTATTCCCCGGTCGATCCGGGTAGCAGGCCAACGGGAAACAGCCTGGTTAGAGAGAGCGTCAGCAGGTACTGCCCATTTTTCTCCAGTCCCGGGAAACTTGGCGTAGCTGAGGTTCAACCCTCTGTCATTCCCAGCTCCCTCCTCCCGAGGGGGCTGTCGGCTTTCATTCACTGGAATGCAGAGGGGTGACAGGTGCATTCAGGGGTGACGCCGGCCTCCGAGATGCCGCCTCTTACGGTATCGTATGTTCCTGGGGCCAGCACTCTAAACTTCTAAACTGGGCTCCTTGGAACTTGGTCATTCTCGGAAAATGATCCCGTGTAGACATGGCAACTCTATATGGTGTGCTCTATTCTCCTTTGGAGAGTCACAGTGCATGTGAGGATTTTAAAGGCTCTGAGAAGTCCTGCATCGAAGACACGTCTTTACTTTTACGCAGTCCAGCAGATGAATTTAGGAAATGCTGGGTTACATAAAAGTAAAGAGGTTTTTTTTTTTCATTGCAGGACTTCTCAGGGCCTTTAATTATCTCCAGAGTCTCCCTTTCTGAAATATCTCTGAGCATCTCTCAGATCCAAGGTGGTACGAAGGAGGATTTGGGAAACCCTTCCTTCAGGTAAGCTTGAGGATGAGCTTAACCGGCTGAACTAGGATCCTCGGGTCTTTGCGTTGACTGGATCGTGAGCAAAAGCACTGACTAATTCCACTCCGGTAAGCCAGGAACGCCCGGTGTAATCCCAGGCAGACCAGAAAAGTGTAGGAAAAGAACGTGTGGTTTTCGATCCAACAGAGAGGAAAAATAATAAAAATATTCGGTCGATCTAAAAAAGGCATCAGATGGGAGGAAGAGAGACAAAGAGCAGGTGGTATAATAGAAAACACACGGTAAATTGGGAGATTTCAACAACCTGTCGGAACTTACGTATAAACGGAATCGATGCTCTAGAGAAAAGACGGTGCTTTATAAAA